GCGACTCTTTATTCATACGTGCAGTGGTTAGGTGAAGAGCCCACATTTCTTTTTAATATAAAGGATAACCAAGGCACTCTGCACACTAGATCTGCTATGGAGTAGTTCTGTAAATGATGGTTAACACTAGAAACACCTGTACTAAGATGACCTTCTGCTCAGAGCATCTTTTTATGCTGTATCAGATGACCTGCCAGTCCTGCAGCTTCTGTTGTGTTGTAGCTCTCTTCAGGAACACAAAGCCTATCGAGGCAAGCAGCTTGCCTCACATGTGATCTGTACCTACTTCTCTCTTTGAAGCCTGAAATGCGCATTTCCAGGAAAGTTCCTCTTTCCTAAAGCATTTCCCCTAAATCAGAGGTAACTTAGGCCATTAAATGTGGCCCTGCATTCCAAAAGCCTCGGAATCAGGTCTTTTATATTCACAGTTGATGAAATGACCATTAAAGAACGGGTGACAGGACAATGATGGATCCTGCACCAGATCCTGGAAGCCGCCTGACTCTGCAAGTGGATGAGGTCAACTGCGTTCCTCTTACCCGTTTACTTGACATTCCTTCCCTATCTAACACTCCACACCCAAAGACCTTTTATCCTCCAAATTGCTCTTAAAAGTCCTCTTCATGCCCAATGCCCACAAAAATCCGATAGCTGCCTTGGTGTCTTTGTCAGGTACTTAGACACTAGTGTGGTAGGTCTAGTGAAGTAACCTAGATAGGGCTCAAGGAACTAGTCATTCCTCTGCCTGGCTGTCTCAGCAAGTCCTGTCCCTGTGCCCATCTTGATCAGCGCTCCAAGCTAGGTGCTGCCCGTGTTTCATCTCATTGAGTTCCAAGCTCTACATCAGCATTAACAGTGTCTGGTTCAGCTGGTAAGATGCTTTGGAAAGTTGGCACCATAGTTCCTGTATCTTGGTCCAGTCCTCAAAATGCCGAATGATCTTGAGAAGTAATAGGTGATAGCCCCAAAGTGTGCCGTGTAATCATAAGGACATCCCAAATGGCCACCAGCCCTGCTGAGAGGCTGTCTCAGGAAGAGTGGTGCCTTTTAGCTGCTCGTGGCTATTTTGAGGTCCTCCTGGGACGTGGGTATGAACTTTAATCCAAGAGAGGCCTATTGAGCCACATGTGGCAGATTCCCTTTCCTAGATTGCATCAGGTGTTGGGAGACACCCGGGAGCACATCTCTACAAGCAAGATGATCATTGTCTGGAGCATGGCTCCAGATATCTCTGCCTTCCCGTCGTCTAGAAGCAGGAGGGAAAGTAACATGCTCTATCATTTTCCTGCATTCTCCCCTGGTCTATCATTGCTTAATTGTATCCCTAAATCTTATTAAAGTTTGGGGTGAGTCACCGCCGCGGTGAGGTGGATACAGAGCTGAGCAAATCTGAGAGAGGAGGAGTGTCTTCCCATGTGAGCGTGCTGAGCAGGAAAACTCCCACAGCAGAGGAACTCCGATCACTTCGTAGACGTGTTGCATCATCTTCTTGCTGCTGCCTCTAATTTAATGCTCTAAATCCCATATCAAAACACCTGTAGTCCAAAGAGAATATAAAATAGACCTGGAGTAGGAAATTCACTCCAATTAGACATGCAGATCGCTCTTAATCATCTGAGACCTTCTTCCAAGCTCAGACAGGACTTTTAATTGTGGTTCTGTATGTCTTGTTGCACTGACTGTCCACAGAACCCACTTGCCTCTCCACCACCAGAATAAAGCTGTGGGCTTAATCCAAGGTGGCTGCACTTCAGCATCCTAAATGTATTTCATTTGGGCTACAGTAGTTCAGTCTTGTAAAACACATTATCATCTCTCGTGAAAAAAGCACTGTAGAACTGTAAAACTGTTGTCACTGGACAGATAATTTCTTTGTCGTGAACTGGAAGACCTCCTCTGCTTTACTGTGTGGACATCACTGTAATCCCTTGCATTTGCTGTTCTGGCTTCTGATGCCAATCCAAAAAAAGATTCTTCTTTCTGAGGCTACGTTTTCCAGCACATCCCATGCTCCTGCTCCTCATGACTTTGGTGGTTTAATGTGCCGTTCTGGTGTGGCTGGGAACACGTTGCTGTAGGCAGGGCAGGCACGTTTCGGGGTGGTGGAGGGAGCTCCCATCCCATCATGGGATTAGGAGCCTGGTTTAGTATTTTACTGCTTTGTTTTTCTTCACAGCTTTTAGGTAATATACTTGCAGCCTGTTTCATGGAGTTTAATTATTCAAATGAAAATCTGTTGTCATGTCAGTGGGAGTCGAAGCTCCGTTCTGAAAGAAAGATGGGTGCAAAACTTTGTTTGCCCTTTGTTACTGAAAGAAAAGGAGCTACAATTTGGTGGGCTGAACAGGAGCATGGTGTCCGCCAGGAAGCCACTTGCCCATGAACCAGGGAGTGAATGGGCATCACTTTGACCACCCAGGGATGTATCTGCTGAGATTAAGTCTTGTATTAAATATGTCTGTAAAAGTACAGAGAGCTTGGATCCCTCTGACTTGGCTTCTCCAGCTGGAGTGTCTGGGCTTCAGCTGCAGGGAGGTGGTGGGATATTTCATTTCTGTGTAGCACAACCAAGTGATGACAGGAGAGCAGAAGAAAACATGGTATTTGGTATTTCCTCCCTTCTTCTATGTTCTTCTTGAGAATGTGGATGTGCTTATGTTCTATAAAATTAGGATTGTAATACCCACAAGTTGTTCTGACTTCCTGAGCTTCTGATGTGGGCAGTCTGGGACCAGCCACTAATAGAGCACAAATTGAAGGTGTTCAGAGCTGGTGAAGCTAAAGAAGGTTTCTAGGTTGGGTTGCAAGAGAACTTTTTTTTGTGTGACAGGGTGGGACACCCAGGGGAGTATGTAAGTCATCTAAGCCACAGAGGGTTTTACTAGGCCAATGCACAATTTATTTTTGTTCATCAGATATTGCCTGGATAATGATATCTCAGTTATTAATGGAGCAAATGAGGGAAGGACATCCAAGAAGTTCCAGGACACTTTGAAAATGGAGGTAAATCTGCCATCCAAGAGGAAGCTAAGAACTTCCTGTTGGAATTATAGTAGACAGCAATGTTCCAAGGGAAGAGAAAGGCCAGGGAACACTGTGACATGGAATCATGCACTTAACACTGCAGACAATTATAGAATCAAAGAATAATTGAGGTTGGATGCAGCATCTGGAGATCATTTAGTCCAAGCCCCCTGCTAAAAGCAAGGCCAACTAGAGCATGTTGCTCAGGACTGTGTCCTGTTGGGCTCAGGACTGTGTCCTGTTGGGTGTTGAATATCTCCAGGGATGGGGATTCCACAGCCTCTCTGGACAACCTGTCCTAGGGTTTGACCAACCTCACAGTAAAATGCTTTTTTCTTGTGTTTGAATGGAATTTCCTGGACTTCCGCTTGTGCCCTTTGCCTCTTTTCAGTGGTCACCAGTGTGAAAAGCCTGGTTCTGTCATCTTTTCCCTCTCTCCTATCAGGAATTGATATACATTGATAAGATTCACACCCTTCCCCACCTCGAGCCTTCTCTGCTCAGGGCTGGACAGTCTGACAGAGTATGGAAGTGGAGGTTGTAGAAGGTTGAACCAATGTTACTGGGTAGATACTGGAAGCCTAAAGCCAACCCAACTGCTGTCCTGAGTAAACGGTGATGTGTCAGTAATAGAGAATAGGACAAATGAGCTTTCTTGCTTTTTCCTTCCTTCTCTATATCTTTTTTTTTCCTTTAGTACCTTTATATCTGCTTTCTTGGCATTGTCCCAGATGTCTTCTGGGAATAGTTATCTCTGGGTCTTTTATCTTTGTGTTTGTCATTTAGCGTGATCCTGGCTGTTCCAAAAGCTAAGATATTTATGGTGAGTGAGTTGAGGTTGGTGTGTGGTTGATTCCTGTGACCTGCTGTGATGAGCAGAATCGCTTTGGATAAAGCCATGGATCAAATTTTGAACTGGAGGTGAACTTTTATAGATGTTCAGTATAGTTGGAGAATAGTGGTTTTCGTTTTAAAAAAAAAAAAAGAAACTTGCATATCTTCAGTTTTGGGGAGACAGTAGCCTAAGTAAGGAAGTCCCAGATATATTCAGAGACCAACTGTCTCTGTTCCAGACCCGAGAAGTCAGGGTGAAGCTTGTTTAGAACCATAGACAAACGTTGAGGCCCATGGATCTGTATCTGACACAGCTGGACCATCTACTGCTTGGCAAATGTGTGTCTCCCAAGATGGGTTATAAAAGCTCCCTTCTGGGTTTTCCCTGTTGGCTAGTTGGGTACAAAAGCACGTCTGTTCATATGTACCTGACATTACATGTATTAATAAGGTTGAAACACAAGTGCTAAATCTAGCTGAATATGTAAATACTACAAAACCTGTTAATTTTGCTTATGCCACAATATATTGGGGGTTCAGGGAAGATAGAAGGTTGGGTTTGGTTCTGTTATAAAGCTAAACATTTGGTCACTTACCCACCTTTACTGAGCTATTTTGAATTTATTTTCTACATTTGTTTCGGAAATGAGACCCCCCCTGGAACTAGTTAAATGTGAAAACTTCCATCATTGCTCTTATCAATGTGTCATATCTCCTCCCAACAGAGATTTGTTACAACTTGCCTTGGATTCAATTTGTCTGTCTTGTCAAACCATTGGAAGGCACAGAATCTGTTTCCCTATATTTCTGTAAAATAACAGAAGTAAGGGATCTGGATTTTACAGAAAACAAACAGAAAGAAACCCTGATCTTATTTAAGTAGAAAGACCAGTTTCTCGTGCATAAGGATTTAATTCCCAAATTCTTTGCACGATGTTATATCTGTCTACCTCTGCTTTTATTGTAGTAGCCCAAAATTATTGAGTATGGATGTATAGAAGAGAATCTGGTGTTTAAACTTTAGAAGTTATGTGTCTGAACAACTGGAATTTGAGGCTTTGCTGATGCCTCATGGAAGGTTTGAGTTTTTTGCTTTTCAAAGGCTAAAAGCACTGAGCTTGTTCTCTCTGTTTCCCTTGCAGGTGTGTTACTAGACATCCAGCAGCACTTTGGAGTCAAAGACAGCGGGGCTGGCTTGTTGCAGACAGGTAAGAGTATTTGTTTCCTCACTGGCTTTTTAACCTTCCTCTTCTCAGAAAGGTGCTATTGGATTTCTTCAGTTATGGCCCTTGGGCACGTTGGCTGTGAAGTACACTCTGACTGGGAAGATGAGTGAACACGAGGGTGTTTTTGGTTCTGATTTGCTGCTGGGCAGGAGATCAGGGCTCAGAATGACTCAAGTGCAGAATGGGACACAGAAAGCACACAAACCCAGTGATATTATTTATGACAACTAAATTCAAATCGGAGTTGGCTGCTTCTCCTAGATCAGAAAACTCATGGTAAACCAACAGCAGGATCCTGTTGTTCTTACTTCTCTTAGCTCTCTGCAGGCTGGTAATAAGTGTGATGTATGATGCCCTTCGTGTGCTCTACAGAGAATGTGCTCAATGTACAGTAATTGGAAGTACGGTGTGCCATGAAAATGTAAAACTCATCAGGACAAGTACCTGAGGATGGAAACTGCAGGAAAGGCTAACAATCATTGCATTCATGGTGGCTCATGGAGTAACAATATCCCTATGATTTTGGTGCTATTAGCTTCAGACATTTCTCTCCTTGTATTTAAGGAAGAAGGACTGTTGCAATTGTAGTGTCCTTTTAATGTAGCAGAGATTTTAATGCTGCAGACATCTGCAGACCCTGGGACAAACCCAGCTTTTCTGGCCTCTGGTGCTGGGGTGGTTTAGAGGAGTGTCTTTGTCAACAGGATGGTTTTGGTGACCTTGAGTAGCAGTCTCATGTATTTAGGACAGCACGTTTGATCTTCATGGGGAGTTGAAAGGACTAGCCAGAGAGAAAATGCAATATTTTTAGGAGAGGAACAGTCTGCTTTGGAAGCTTTCTACAGAATTATTAGTTGGAGTCATAGATTTGTGGTGCCGTGGTTATCTTGTCACTGTCATCTGTCTGAGGGAACCACACTGGAACAATTATATCTCTGAAAAATTAGAATTCAATTAGGATTAGAAATAGTGTGCCAGAAAGACTTTTTTTTTTTTTTTCCCCCTTTGTTTTTTTTTTTTTTTCCCCCTTTGTTTTTTTTTTTTTTTCCCCCTTTGTTTTTTTTTTTTTTTCCCCCTTTGTTTTTTTTTTTTTTTCCCCCTTTGTTTTTTTTTTTTTTTTTTTTCCCCCTATGCTTTTTTTCTTATACTGTCAGAGTGGATACCAAATGCCTGTCAGGAGCTTGTCTGTGAAACTGTAACCAAGTGTAGAAAATCATTCATTTGCAATCACACCAGAGGTGAGAATGTTCTGGAGCTCCCTCAGTTGCCCTTTGATTTCAAACCAGGTGAACCACTGCAGTACCTCCTCCCTTTGATTTTCTGCAGCCCACAGGCACGGTGGGGTCCTCATCTGTGGTTACTGCTTCTTGGTAACGTTGCCATGCAAACAGTTAACACCAGTTTATATTAGGGCTTTAAAACTGCTCTCCTTGTGGGACGGGGAGTTCAGCTGGGCTGATGTGTGCAACGCGTGTCCAGAACAGAAGGCCTGAGCTTTACAAGTGTTGCTGATTATAAGTAGCATCAATCAGTTGTGCCCAAAGTGGCACTAGTTGTCTGTCAGGCACTTTTCTACAGCAATTATTTCTATTTATTTATTGTACTCAGAGGAACAGGCCCTCGATGTATCATTAGACACAAAGTGCCTTCAAGAAAATATTCTGATAGAAAACGACACTTGCCAAAGCATATATTTATCTTCATTCCCCTCAGTGGATGAAGTCCTTCAGCAGATGATTTACTGATGGCAAGTAAGAGCTAAGTTCCAACAGGGCATTTCATTTGTTAATTGCAAGAAATGTTATTTATTTCTCCGGCAAACACACAGGGCATTTGAAAACAGCATCACTGAGGTATTGCAAGATTGCTGCTGCATGCGTCATGAGTTTTGGAACTGATAACTCTTACTTTAAGAAAAGCAACATTTTCTCTTGTATTTTTTTGCCTGATCTGAAAACCGAGGGCTTGACTTTGCCCCTGAAATATAGATAATAATGTATTAATCACAGTGCCATCACAGGGAAAGAGTTCTCACAAAATAAAACACCATTACGTGTAAGTAAGGGTAGGGGCATATATCCGAGAACTTATTAATTGCATTACTTCAGCTTAACAAGTTTCTGTGTTGGCAGCTGGCCCATGGACCATGTACCCTTAACCCTGGTGAAATAAAACACGCTGCCCTAAACCACCATAAACACTGCTTTGAACCTGCTGTCTCTCTCTGAGCCTGGCCTCTCCAGATGCATAAATGGGGGAAAATGGATGCAGAGCATAAAAGCGTTTGACCAAGGTGGCAGAGGAAGCCTGTAGCAGAGCTGGGACCAGGACTGATGCCTCCCAGGCCTCTGCCTTAACCTTGAACAGTTCCTCTGCGAGCAGAGACAGAAATATCATCTTATTCCCAGGAGATGGTCCTGCTAACTAATTGAGTGATGTGAGACGAAAGACTGCTCATCCTGAATGTGTCCTCTGAATAAAGAGTGGATTAGTCCTCAGGTTGTTAATCCTGCATCTAAATGAGTTCTAAATTAATTTACAATGTTAATGAGGGGGAGTGAAATGTAGTATTCACTGGCAGTTCATATCACTCATCAGACAGGCCTTAAAAAATAAATAAAAGAAATCCTTTTAACTGAGAAACAAGGCTGCACACAGTTTTAGGAAGAGATGGTACTGAAAACTCAAACAGCGAGGGGAAAAGGAATCCACCAAAGGCAGTGTATGACCCTGCATTCCCACCATAACCCCTTCTTTGCAGGCACAGCCAATCTCCTGGTGCTCTCCCTCCAAACCCTCAAAAGCCAACTCATACACTCTCAGGGTCTGCTGCTCTCTGGAGAGCAAAGGTGACTGGTTTCTTAGGAATTGCAAAGACAGAATTTGAATTTTTGTCTTCTTTTATATTAATCCCAAGATAGAAGCTGCTCTTTGCTGAAGAGATGTAACGGAAGCTGGTTGGGGGGCAACGTAACTCCTGTAGGGAAAAATCATAGGGAGGCTCCAGCCTCATCCATAATGGAAAGGAGCAGAACGTGGCAGTCTCTGCAGCAAGGGCCCTGTGACAGCAAAGGACACGCTGACAGATGGATCACAACTGCTGCTTGCTCAGTAGCATGGTAGGGTAACAGAGATATAACTATGGTGATGCCAGAGCCTCAGTTATCTCTTGATGATGCTGTAACTCTGTGCTGGTCTTCCTTTTTAAAGCACTACACACGCAGCTACAGAAATATTAGTGAAGTTCACTTAACTGTCCTGCAGGTCTGCATCCGAGCTGCCTCGTGCTTTTCATTTCTTACTGGTTACTATTCAACCATAATCCTGGCTGATCTCAAAAGGTGATAGAGCACGTCCTTGGCTACTTTTTCATTTATAAGCCAAACCATACAAAAAGTCTCTCCCATGTTAGGAGTTGGGTAGAAGCAGCAATTTGGACTCACCAAAACTACAGGCCTGTGAAAACACAAAGGCTGAGAAGATGGACAACTGGATTTGTAGAATTGCTTCAAAATAGGATTATCCTTCTGTATATACTTAGACCACGGAGTGCTGTACTCTGGTTTTCACTAGATTTTTTTTCTTCTTTCTTCAATTTTTGTGTTTTATTGCTCTGTCTGCTTTCCTTGCCCTTGGATTTATATTGCTTTTGTGTCTCTTGCCAGTGTCTATTTAACACACCAGAGCTCTAATAATAATAGCGCCTGGCTCTGGGTGCAGTTTGTCTTCTTTAGATCTCAGGATGTTTTATATGGGGAGGGATAATGAGGCTGGCCCTTTCCTACAGATGGGGAAACCAAGGAAGCCAGATGGGAGAAATGACCTGCCCAAAGTCACACAGCGGGTCTGAGGCTGAGCCAGAATGAGAACTGTGGTCCGGTTCCTGAGCACGCAGCGCTCAACTGGGGTGATGCTTAGACCCAGAGATTTGGTCCTTGTTAATGGGCACCTGAATCTTCTGGCTCAAGCACAAGAGAAGGCACGTAAAATAGTGGAGACTTCTGCAAGTGGAAACTGTGAAGCATCAGATGGAGGGTATGGCAAGGATTCCATTGAACTGCAGAGGGGAAAGTGTCTGCCTTCAGAAGGAGCACGGGGCTGTCGTTGGAGGAAACCTTGGTAACCAAAAGTTTATACCATAAGGTCAGAAGCAAGGAAAGATAAGAAGTGAGAGATCTGGAAGGACTCATTAAAGGTGAATAATTTTAGATAACTGGGGCTCTGAAAGAACTTGTCTCTTCTCACGTGGAGAGAGATGGGCATCCTCCCAAATGCCTTTCAGCCCCTGGTTTCCCAGGAAGCCTAGGGATGCCAGGGACTTTCTTAAGTCTTGCTATGGGCTCATTTATCCTGTAAGGGTCAATTCCAACTAGAACCTCTCTTCATTTGAAAAGTGAAATCTTCATCTGCCTGAGCTCTCCTGCCTCTTGATCTGACCTAGCATAACCTCGCAGTAGACTGCAGCCTTGCAAAGATCTTGGCAGCTCTGGAGTGCTGTGATGGTATCAGCCAAGCTCCAGGCATGTGAAGTGAGTAGGGGACTTGAAGTAGTAGAGTGCAATGATGGGATAAATCAGGCTTGCTAAATTTAAGGTTTTTCTTTCAACTCCCTTTGACTCCCATCTTCTTGTCATTGGCTTATGATGACAGCCTATCTGCTCTAACATTTTTTACTTATTCTATGCAGGGACCACTGTCTCTGGAGGAGATGCTAATCTTGAATATGTGCATATGATTTGAGTTGCAGGTGCCACGTGTTTCTTTCCTACCATCTGCTTCTACCTGAATAGATACTGTCTTGCTCCTCATCCATGCTATGCATAACTGAATCAAGTCTTCACCTTTCACTTCCGACTGCACCTGCTTAACTCTTCTTCTTGCTGGAACAGAGTAACTCATATTCTGGACATTCCTTTGGAGGGAATGACTTCTTACACCAGAGCACCTCCCAAGGCCCTGGTATCTCAGGTGTCCACACCAGT